AAAGATAATAAATAAAGAACGGTCAGCTGCTAATAAACATCCTAATATCATCTTGGCAAAATAGTGAAAACAAATCCATGCTGCTAATGGCTAGATATTGTTAATATATATTGCCCTCCCTACAAAATAGAATAATGACCTGCCACATAGCCCTAATAAACTTCAAATTGAGACATAGTATTTAATCAATCTTTAAGATCTAGGATCTATTTCTATAGATATAAGTTCATTCCACAATTTAGTGTCCAAGTTTTAAAATAAGATCACAAATTATTAAGGAGTATTGGGAGCTAGAGCTTCTCGGCACAAATTATCTAGGGATTATTAAGGATGTGCCAAGAATAGCATACACTAGACACATGTTGCTTCTCGGCAGCAAGAGCTTTCTTCAAATTATCCCTCCTCGTTTCAACTTCAGATAATGCAATTAAGTGTGCTGATTGTTCACGTTTGAAGATCTCCTCAGTTTCTGCTAAATCTTGCCCTAGTTGGTCATACTTTGAAGCCCACACTTTCTTCTCTAGCAAAATAAGTCCTAAATTGTGCTGGTAATCAAAAAGCTGCCAAAAATAATAATCAGATAAATCCATGTAAGAGCAATATAAGTTCTGATGACAGGAACGATACCAAAAGAATGACAAACAATGAAGTCATTTATTCCCATCCTGTAGGATGATTGTGCTAAACACTACAACATTATAATGCATACATCTATTACATTAAAAAGACAAAAAAAAAAAGGCAAAAAAAACATTTTTTCTCTCTTCATCTAAATGGAAATAGTATTTCAGCTTCCTAGGCATGAGGTTCCAACCTGATTAAACCTACCAACATAAGTATAATTGCTCAAAAAAATCACAAGAGCACCTATTTTTCTATACATTGGAATTCAATATTTCACCCCATGATTGCCTAACTTTGCCAAAACTATTTTAAAATTTTAGGGGAAACAAACAATTTATACCCTGAACTTTTAATTTCATCAAAATGCACCTCAAACTTTTGATAAACATCGCTATCTTAACCTTAAATAAGCATTGAAAGTCTTTCCCTATGATAGACTTTAAAAATTTTCAATGAAAATATTCTTATGTACATTTAATAAATATAAAACATAAGTCTACTATAAAATTAATGAAGCCCTTCAAAGAAAAACAATACTAGAGCTGTGTTTGTTGAAGTTGTGAGTTTTTATCGATCTTGTGCATTAGCCGGCTTAAATTTATGCTAGGCTTGATTTTTGTTGAATTATTAAATTTGGAGAGATTTTTACCATACTATTCATTAAAATTAGTGGATGAGTTTGGCATTAATTGACTGTTGCAACATGAATTTGTGAGTTTTGAAAGGCATATTCAATGGTTTTTCTTGATATTGTGCATTAACCAGGGTTAAATTTGTGCTAGGCTTGATTTCTTCTCTTATTTGCTAAACGTGAACCAACCTAAGTAACAATAGAAACTAGCTTTTACCAGGGCCCAACTTGAAGGCCAGTGTATCACATAAGTGCATATGCCATAACGTTACAGTTCGACCCCAATTAATCCAAAGATAGAAAACAAGTAAGAATTGATGATATTTACTAACCTCGCTTTGAAGCCTTGAAGCCTTCTCAAGAAGCGCCTCCCGATCCTTGCGCTCCATTGCAGCCGCGTCCAACAACCCCGCCTTCTTAAACTTCCTCCAATCGTCCATGTTCCCAGTATCCGCAGCTGCCGCAATTTTATGGAATCGGTCGTTCAGAGACCCCAACGGCGGCGGTGGGCCGTCTGTAAAAGCCACATCCTTCCTCTGAGGCGTGAACATGATGAGGTTCTATTGCTTGTAAGCAATGTAGAGAGACCGAACCCCAATTCTCAAATGAATTGAAAAAAAACACAAAAGAATTGAGATGCTCCGACAAGTTCTACAGAAACCCTACTTCCACCGTTCTGTTCAATCCAGTCAGGAATAATTAAACATTCAGGTTGAAGAACAAAAGGAAACTATAGCAGAACAGCAATTCCACTCCACTACCCTAAATTAGAACCAAAAAAAAAAAAAAAAAAAAAAAAAAAAAAAAAAAAAAAAAAAAAAAAAAAAAAAAAAAAAAAAAAAAAAAAAAAAAAAAAAAAAAAAAAAAAAAAAAAAAAATTAAAGTGCAGAAGAGAAAAAAAGAAAGCAAAATAGAGAAAGAAGAGAAGCTAACGTCGTTTCCGGAAGAAGAGTAGCGTTAGCCCGCTTCCAAACGGGAAGGCTGGTTGGCGTCGTTGCCGTTGCCAGAATAGAAGGGAGAAGGAATCCGAAGAAAGAATCAAAGGTGTGGAAGAGAGAAAATGGAGAAGGGCGTCGTTGCCTGTCGTTGCCGGAACTGGAGAGAATCTAGTCCGGAATAAACACGAAACGGGTTATAGCGAGAGGGGAAAACGCGTACAGACCTAGATTTAACCCCCTTTACTAAATTAGCTAACCCAGTCATTAAATTAAAAAAATTCAAAATATAATAATAATAAATATAATCTTTTTATTAATTTAACTTTTAATTTTTTTTTTTCGAAGTTTAATTATTATACACCATAAAACATAATGAATGCTCCATAAAAGGTCACGTCCGATAACAACGATCTATCAATCTATCCCAAGACGAAAGACCGAACTAGTTTTTCATTGAGTGGGGTAATAGAAATTATTGACCCAACTCATCCAAAGTCGGGGGTGACAGACTTGAAAGCAGATGAGGGGAAAAAGAGTCCTCCCAACAGAGAGGTAGAGCTCAATGGTGAAGACCTTGTAGCCATAATGGTCATAGTCAAGGCTCATTTTCTTGCTTCGTATGTAAGGAGGCCCATTGAGAATTTGAATGACTAGAGAAGGTTCATGTTGTATAATAATAAAGCTTCATTCTTTTTCAATGTGGCAGGAATTGAAATATATTTTGATAATTTCAACAGCATTTTTTTCACATCTTCATTGAAGTATATTGTATAATTGATGTCTCTTGATTTATATCATTCTCCACTTCTTCACTTCTTCAAGAGAATTCTCCCTCGAATCTATTTGTGAAACTTTATGGAAATACAAAGGACCTCACAACACTCTGTCACGTGTATACACTCAAGGAATTTTAGGTCACTCTGTTTGCACTCATTTACACCAATGAAGCTCTCATTCTCACCTCTCAAAATTTTCAATAGAACCAAGATTGAATTTTAAACTCTGGGTTGATAAAAAACTAAAAAGATAAAAGTAAATAAAAATCAAATTGAAAAGAAACGTAAAGGAAACATATATCTAATTTTGAGCTTGAAGCTTTGATAACAAATGATAAGGAATCAGCACAAGGGAAATCTCTGATCACAAATGATATGGAAATCAGCCCAAGAGAAAGCTCGGGTACCAAATGATATGGAAATCAACTCAAGGGAAAGCTCCGATACCAAATGATAAGGAATCACTACAAGGTGAGTAAGATTCGGACTACATTGTTGATTGAATATCTCAAGGCAAGAACACTTGTTTAGATTCGAATCACTCCATAAAGAAGATCGATCATATTTAGCTTGAATGATTATTGTTGATCAAATATCTCAAGACAAAAATACTTGTTTGGGATTCGAATCACTCCACAAGCAAGATTAATCATGTCGAGCTTGAATGATTCTACATGCAACCTAAACTATATCGAATTGCAAATAAACTTAACAATTAACTAAACGAATGCACAAATGCTCATTTGACTATATTTTCATGTCTACTTACAAATACAACATACATGACTTATAGCCTCAAAATGAAACTCTTGATCTAGACATTTCAACTGTTTGTAACATTCATACTTTATGACTATAATCAGTCACTATGTATCCTTTATGACTATAATTTATAAATGTAACTTAAAAGTAAATAAAAAATCTTAAAATACATTAATGAAATACAATAAATCTCAATTGTAATCCACCCAAAATTTATAACAATGAAGCTTCATTCTCCTTCAATGTGACATGAATTAAAATATCTTTTGATAATTTCAACACCATTTTTTTCACATCTTCATTCATTGAAGTATATTGTATGATTGATGTCTCTTGGTTCATATCAGAAGGTGACACTATATGTCTTCCAAGAAAAACTTGAATTGAATTTAAAAGCTAATGAGATGGAATAAATTGAAACATGGTTAGTTGAGAAAGTTGAGCACCTCTGCATGAGGGCACTTAAGTACTTGTCCACTTTTCATAAGAAAGTGGAAGAGATAGAAGAGCTAGTGAAACGCGGTCTTATGTATGTCGAGGCCTGGGTTAACCACAAAGCACCCAAGAATACCATTGCGACTTTGGAGATACCCACAACTTCATGATAGAGATTGTCGACACTATTTGTTAAAATATTATCACTAGCCTAATAGGGTCAACCCCAATAATTGTATGAGTTATATTCATTTGAGCAAAATGATTTAAGTATTTTAGGAATAAAGATACTTATATATTTTAGGATAAAAAGTGAGATATTTTAAGAAAAATATTGACATACTTTAGAGTTAAATTGTTTAGTCTCTATTATAAATACTCATCCACCCTATCTAGGTTTTCATCCAAAAAAAATACAAAGCACAGAGTGTAGCAGTAGTTTCTACTGAGTGTTTTGTGATCTCTTTTCGATTGTTTTTAATAAAGAGTGCGAGTGTTTCCCACAAAAAGTTGTGTTCAACAATCTAGTATCAGAGCGAGGTTAATATAGGTTGTATGATATCTTGGAATTCTTAGTACACTCTGTGGTTGCAGCACTGTAATAACTCGTACAGTTGCCGGTTGTACCAACATTTTGATTAAAAAAAAAAACATGAAAAGGCGAAATATGAAAAGGCATGGGGTAGGTCTGCCACCTACCCCAAAACTTCTCTTTTAACTCTTGGCAAGAGACCAATAAATCAGAGGGAAGGAGTTGAACCAAGATGTTTGCAAGTGTCGAACAAGCTGAACAGGTGAAGGAAAATCGAGGGGAGAAAGGAGCTGATAGCTGGATTTTAACCGACCATTGGACCAAATCGAACCACTGTACCAAACCGCCTTGCCAAAAACACACCGACCCGTCTACCGATCCTACCCACCTAGTGACCCGAAAGTCAACACCGGGCCAACCCGACCCATCTAGCTAACTCCGACCCACTACCCAAACCAGACCTGAAGGTAAACATGACCCAATGTTCAAAGACCCAATTCTCGCAAAAATTTGCATCGTTTGACTCGAAATCTACCCAACTTCTATAGTTTTGATATATTTTCTTAATGTAGGACCTAATTGAAGATCTTTGAAGAAATTGAAAATTTGTTGAAGACCCAGAACAAGCTCGGGAAACCTACAACAAGTAACCGCATGGAGAAAGTTTCTAAGAAATGCTTGTAGGAGTCAGTTTGGAGTATGGGCAAACGATCTAGTATTATACTTAGGAGTTTGGTTAACATTAGTTTCATGTGTGTTGTACTTCGATTTCGTGAATGATTATACCTTGATTATAGTTAGGGTTATATAGCTTCCGTATGCATAATGTGAAATTCTCTGATAGGTGTTTGAGTTTATGTGTTTCCTAGGATGTCTAGTTAGATTGTTAGTTCTTGATTTCCATGATGAGTATGATGTAAGCTTGTTATGTTTTGATTTGGGGTTTGGATAGCTCATTATTGCCCATTCGTGAATTGGACCATTTGCTATGTGCTAGATAGCGTGAATTATGAATTTCATAGATTATGAGTTACCGTCTCTTAGTTGTCACCTATAGTGGATATGGGTAGCCATAGTGAGTATACTACTGTAGTACTACGTCAGGGGTGCCTAGTGGGGAGAGCCATGACCTTTTACTAATCTAAACCCGACAGGGGTGTAAGATAAGTAGTTTACGTAGCCCGACGGGGAGTAGTGGCAAGTAGTTACTGATTCTCAGGAACAGGTAGTTGATGTCAGGCACCACTAGGCGGAATCCACTGATTTGAACTCAGTAGATATTAGGTATGGAATAAAATTCATATCAATGAAAATCCATAGGGTCTTCTTTTGAGACCACAATATACTTTGCTAGAGATAGATTTGAGCACATAGCCAAGATTCCGTGAATAGGATTAAGTCCGATAAGAGCCGACAAGTAGGTTGCTTACTGAGTATTTTTATACTCATCCCATGTTATTGCTATTTTTTTTCAAGTGTTAAGTAGACTGATGTCGGTGGTGAAAAAGTGCGGAGCCGTGCAGCTGCAGTGGAGACCCTTAGATTGAGTCCTTGCTGTCCATGTTGTTTTTAATGTCATTTTAATGTTTATTTTGGGAAAACTTGTGCTATTTTGTAACTGATTTCTTTTGATGTGACTCCGCGGATCTCGTTATGTTTTGAAACTATGAATTTTAAATGCTTATTAGGTAACTTTAATTTTCTTGTGTCTCCCATTTTATAAAATGGAAATATTGTAAGGCTTTTACCCTAGAGTCCACGTAGCGATGTGTGATTCGATGCGTCGAAGAGTAGTCGTTACAGTTTGGTATCAGAGCCCTAGGTTGTTAGGTCCTATAGACCATCCTTTATCTAGAGTGTGAGTTGGGTCCACTACAGCTCGGCTCGTAGCCACGTTCCTCCTTGACTCGGTAACCAAGAGAGTAAGTTACAAGCAGTAGTCCATAGTTGGAGTCGTATTATAGTTTAACGTTCCATGATGAGACAATAATTCATGAACCTGTTATGGTTAAAGGCTTAAGATAAACACCTAGTAACTTGCGTGTTGATGGCGTAGATATTATGGCACCCATAATTAGAAGTAATGGGTGAGGGAGAGGTAAGCGAGCCACTAGTGCTCCAGAGGAATCTGATCCTACCCAAGACTCAGCTCCGGAACAGACGTTGTCGGTTCAGTTGCTTGATCGCGTGCAAATGCCGCCAGTACTGACTCAGGGGAAGACAGGAGCCCCACCTTCAGACCTAGTATTTATTTCCATCGAGGCCCTTCAGGCGCTCATACGGGCCGCTGGGGCCAACCAAGGGGGAATAACGCTAGCATGACTAGAGAGTAAAAGTTCATCAGGGATTTTAGGAAGCATGACCCTCCGACCTTCAAAGGGAAGGAAATTGATCCAATGGCGGCAGAAGCATGGGTATAAGTGATTGAGACCATTTTTGGGCATATGAATTGTCTTGAGGCATGCTCAAAGGTCAGACACACTTTTGGTGGAAAACTGCTCAAAGGACGTTGAAGGGCAAAGATGAGGATGAGGAACCGATCTGTTGGCATGAAATGAAGAGGGCGTTTTTCCACAAGTACTACCCACTGGTGAATCAGTATCAGAATGAGGCCACCTTCCTAAACCTGAGGCAGGAAAATAGGACGGTTGAGGGGTATGACTTGGAACTGACCCGATTGTCTCGATTTGCACCAGAACAGGTCGATACAGAACAAAAACGGATACGAAGATTTATTGCAGGTCTTCGGGAGGAAATCCAGGGAATAGTGGTGGCAGTGACACCCATTACATATGCAAGCGCCCTAAATGCTGCTACCATGATAGACACCCAACTTCAAAAGATGCTTAGGAGATTTGGGGGTTAGAGGAACCTCCTGGGTAAACGGGAATGGAACAAGCATTCTGATAGGACATCACAACATGTGAACCGAGGAAGATCACATAGGCCACCTCCAATAGAAAGGCAGCAGGGTGTTAGAAGTGAGGCCCTCAGACTTGAGAGACCTACTTGCCCCACTTGTGGCACTAGACATATAGGGGAATACAGGGCAGGTTCAGACGCATGTTTCCATAGTGGTAAGAGCGGTCATAAGAAGGTTGATTGCCCTCATCGAAGGCGTCAAAAGGAGAATAGGGCGTCAGGGTCAGGGCAAGGAGGCCAAGGGGACATGGCATAGAATTGCGGTACTGCTAGGGCAACTATTGGAAATAGGGCGGATGACATGGACACTATAGTCATAGGAACCTTACCAGTACTTGGCTTTCATGCTTTCGTATTATTTGACTCTAGATCCACACACTCTTTCATATGTACTACCTTTGTTAGATATGCACGGTTAGGACTAGAGCCTTTAGGATACAAACTATCGGTGTCTACGTCGCAGGAGAGATTTTAGTAGCTAATGAGATGGTGCAAGCAAGTCAAATAGTAATAACAGGACGACCTCTAGAGGTGGTGTTAATCGTTCTTAACATGAGTGATTTCGACGTGATCCTCGACATGGATTGTTTAGCAATTATCGATTGTAGGGCTAGAGAGGTGATCTTTAGGCCACATAATGAACATAACTTTAAATTTAAGGGGGTGGATTCTCGAAGCACCCCAAGGATTATCTCTACTCTAAAGGCAAGAAAAATAATTGGCCACGGAGCTTGGGCCCTATTGGCCAGCGTAATGGACACCGAGGAAAGGTACTAGTAGTATGATGAATGTGCTAGCAGTACAAGAGTTAAGGATTTGTTTCCAGATGAACTGTCTGGATTACCACCAGTCAGGGACATGGACTTTGCAATCGAACTGGAACCTGGTACAACTCCAATCTCCAAGGCACCTTATAGGAGGACTCTTGCCGAGTTGAAGGAACTAAAGGAGTAGTTGTAGGATCTCTTAGATCGGGAGTTTATCAGGCCAAGTGTATCACTTTGGGGAGCCCCAGTGCTTTTTGTCAAGAAGAAAGATGGGACCTTGAGATTGTGCATTGACTATAGGGGATTGAATAAAGTAACAATAAAAAAAAAACAAATACTTGTTGCCACGCATTGATGATCTATTCGATCAATTGCAAGGTGCTTCAGTATTTTAAAAAATTGACCTGCGATCGGGATACCATCAGTTGAGGATAAAGGAGATCGATATCCCCAAGACGACTTTCAGGAGCCGAAATGGTCATTATGAGTTTACTGTGATGTCGTTTGGATTGACAAACGCCCCAACAACATTTATGGATATGATGAATAGGGTGTTTAAGGATTTCTTGGATACATTTGTTATAGTATTCATTAACGACATATTAATATACTCCAAGATCAAGGAGGAGCACGAAGCGCACTTGCATCAAGTGCTGTCAAGGCTAACGGTGAAGGGAATGAACTCTTCATCCACGTAGTGGAAGTATTGGAAGTCATTTTGATTTTTATTAAGAATTAAAACAAAGCAATCAATACGAGAGTAAGAACTCTACATTTGTAGAAACCCTAGCTTGCAAGACTCATTGGAGTATTCCAACCATGCAGAAGTTCTTCAACATTCCACAAAATCTTCTTGCTATGACTCGAACACAAGGCTAAGGCTTGTGGGAGCTTCTTGAAAGAAAATCCCAAAGGGATTGGAGAAAGAAGAAAGAATTTCGAGAATTCTTCTAGAGATGTAATTTCATTCTCAAGAAAAAGTGAGAGAGATTGATCTGTCTTTGGCTCAACCCGAGCGTGCTATTTATAGGAACTCGAAGAATATTTGTCAAATAAGATATTATAAGATATCCTAATATATATTTAACTAATTTGAATCTAATTCAAATTTCAAATATATTTTTATTTAATGAAAATATATTGATTGATTTAATATTTAATTGTATCAAATACAATAAATATATTTTTCTTTTAATATATCTAATATATTAAATATTAATTTGAACCTTTCAAATTAATATATTTTTCTCTATTTATATTTAACATATCTAATATATTAAATATTAATTTGAACCCTTCAAATTAAATATATATTATTTATTTATTTAATATATTAAATATTAATTTGACATTTCAAATTAAATTTATTTTCTCCTTTATATTTAATATATCTAATATATTAAATATCAATTTGAATGCGTCAAATTTTATTTCAAATAAATTGAACATTTTAGTGTTACTATAAGCTAGCAAGGAGACCTTATGGACCTATAGATTATAAGCTCCAATGATACAAAATTAATTAATTAAACTCTTTAATTATTCATTCATTAACTATAGGTCACTCCACTATAGACCTAGAGTTGCACTCTTATGCACTGCAAGACAGGTTATGTCCATTGATATAATCATTACAAGCAAGTCGATCCCTTACGAGTTGTTCATAATTACAGCTGGGTCAAAAGTCTGTTTTACCCCCGTACTTAATCTTTCACCTTAAGTACCACTGATTCTCTAATGAACAATTTGTCTAAGATCAAATCATAAACTAAGTCCCTCTCGGGCTAATGAGAGGGTGAGGCCTCATTGTTTAAGTCCCAAAATCAGTACTTAAAAGAACAACACATCTACTTTTCTTATATGGAAATGAGTGAATTCCATTTCATGATATTATGTTCCTAACTCCCTATTTGGTAAGTCCCCAAAATAGCAGGCATATTGATTCGGTAAAAGAGTCATTCTCACCCATGTAAATTAAAGGACAAGCCTTCACAGATAGGAGTTCATAACTCACTCAGGATTAAGATCGAGTTGCATATGATCATCATGTGAAATATTAATCTTCTCAATGAACGGATTTATAAAGAGAGATTAAATATTTCTTGGTCCAGTCTTATACAAACTCATTGCATAGGATACCCCCACTTACATGTCTCCACATGAATGATTTACAAAGTGGGTCGTATCAATAGTAATAGCAGGATAAGGCACACAACCTTATCCATATACTATAGACTCTTTAGGTTATTACTTGAACACGATCCTCTTGTATGTCAACCACATACTGTTCAAGATTACATTAATAACCTTGGATTTTCATACCATGGATAACACTTAAATTACAAATAAAATATAAATTATTTTAAAAACTAAATAATTAATTACGAGGCTTTAGGGCATAAATCCCAACAAAGGGCACATTGATTTTATGCCAAGTTTTCTAAATGTGAATTCTGGTTGCAGGAAATGACCTTCTTAGGGCATGCTGTGTCAGGAAAGGGTATATCAGCAGATCCAACCAAAATCGAGGCAATTATAAATTGGCCCCGACCTACCTTGACAACCGAAGTGAGGAGCTTCTTAGGCTTAGCTGGATACTATAGAAGATTTATCCACGATTTCTCCAAAATAGCCGCCAGCCTCACACAACTAACAAAGACAGGGAAGGTGTTCTCGTGGGATAGTGCATGTGAGCAAAGTTTTAGTGAACTCAAGCACCGACTGGTTACAGCGCCGGTACTTTCAGCACCAGATAACCAGGCAACTTTGTAGTCTATAGTGACGCATCAGGGAAGGGCCTAGGTTGTGTCCTGATGCAAAATGACGAGGTCATAGCCTACGCTTCGAGACCGTTAAAGGACTATGAGAGAAATTACTCCACGCATGATCTGGAGTTAGCTGCCATAGTATTTGCTCTGAAGATATGACGACACTATCTGTATGGCGAGCGTATACAAATTTTCACCGATCACAAGAGCTTGAAATATTTATTCACTCAAAAGGAACTCAACATGAGGCAAAGGCGTTGGTTGGAGTTAGTCAAGGACTACGACATTGAAATAATGTATCACCTAGGTAATGCTAATGTCGTAGTTGATGCTCTAAGCAGGAAAACGGCTCACTCTTCGGCATTAGTCACAAGAGAGTGTAGGTTGCAAAAGGATATGGCGTCAGTTGAAATAGAAGTAGTGTCAAGAGGTGCAGTGGAGAAGATTGAGTCAGTTTAGAGTCTAGCCAGATTTAAGACAGCGAATCATAAATGCTCAGAGCAACGACCCTCACTTATACTCAATTTGTCAACAAGATGAGGTAGTAAGGGAAGTCGGATTCACCCTATCTTTTGATGGAGGGCTATGGTGGCAGGGACTCTTATGTGTTCCTGCAGATAAACAGATCAAGGAGGACCTCTTGACTGAAGCCCATGAATCTCTATATTCAGTACACCCTGCTAGTACCAAGATGTATTACTACTTAAAGAGGTGCTATTGGTGGCCAAGGATGAAGCGAGATGTTGCCCTCAGAGTTAGTAAGGGTCTAACGTGCCAACAGGTGAAGGCCCCTAGACAAAACCCTCAGGCCTATTACAACCCCTAGACATCCCACAGTGGAAGTGGGAGGATATAGCCATGGACTTCATATCAGGATTTTCCAAGACCTCGAAGGGATACATAGTTATCTGGGTTATTACTTAAACCCATGATATTCCACCAAATTGACCAACGTGGGACTCACTCCCAATAATCCTCAATTCAATGCAATGACGTAAACTTTAGGGTTAGCCCGTCATTCCACAAGAAATTGTTACATTCTTTTAGTATTAACCATCTTTTTAAATAGCTAAAATTTCTTTGGAACTTGGTGAGCGAGAATATCACCATCTTTAATGTCTAGAATAAAAGAGAGAATTTTTCAAATAAAGTAGACCTATAACTTTCTCGAATTTATCTCAATGGGGAGAATTGTAATTTCAATCTTCTTTTCATAAACGCAATTGCAATTGGTCACTTTCTACACAAAATCATAAAATCATAAAAAAAAATACATTAATGCTCCCTACACTTATTAAGTTCAAATAACCAACACGATACATAACTTTGTTCCAACAATAAACGTATAATTTTAAACAATAAACTAAATTTTAGAGCTGAATTACCCTCACAAATGAGCGTTATCAACATATAGTTCTTTTTTAAAAGAGATACGATGAAAAAAATAAAATGGGACAAGTTTGAGAGGTATCACTAAGACAATGAATACGTCACACCAACAAAACACATAATAAATTATGTCCCTATCTTCCAATAAAAAAGATATTTTAAAATTACTTTTAAAAAGTTTAAGGTATTAATAAATTTTTAAAAATTCAAACGTAATTTTGAGATGAGATATTGACTATTTTCGATATTATTCTAATTATTAAAACGGCGTGACCAACTTTTAAATATATATATCCTTTTTTTGGTAGAGAAATATTTATGAAATTTTAAAGGTGGAATAATTTTAAAACCATCTAACGATATTATTCTATAATTTAGCTCCGTTTTGATATAGAAAAGGAGAGAAAAAAAAAACAGAGAAAAAAAAGCGAAACCCTAATCAGCGTCGTTCGACAGTGACCAGGCGCACGTCTCATAGGCGACGACTCATTGTTCGAACGGCGGCAGCGCGGTGTTACCCACGAACAGCAGCGGGCGCGCTTTTCCTCTTCTTTTCCGGGGACTGCTCCAGCTTTCCAGCGAACGGCGACACCAGTGACACTTACCCCTCTGCGCAATCGGACCACACCCGACTAACCCGATTTGGATTACCCGTAGCCTGTGTGAAGTTCAATTTGCAAGTACAAACCCATTCGATCACCGTCCAGCAACAATCCAGGTCGTTTTTTTTTGTTAGATTTGGATAGCGAAGTTTTGTTGAAGCCCTTTCCATCTCTGATAGAGTATGTTAGATTGTTCTCTAACCTTTAGGAAGTATCTGTTTGCAGTTTTGGAGTCTTTCAAACACTTTTCAGCCAGGCTCTAAGTCCATTTTAGTGAGTTTCAGGTTGTAAAGCTCTATTTAATCTTCACTGGATCAAACCATTCTCTCTAAGCTAAATGCTTTTTTTTTTTTAAAAATATTCTTAACTTGGACTTCTTGGTTCTAGAAATTTGAGATATTACCCATAATTTTGTAGTTCTCAATTCGTGAAGTGGTATTCTTGTTTGCTGATTTTTTTTTTTTACTTCTTTGGATATTGATATTTGTGATCTGTTTGTTTACATTTTTTTGTACGGTTAGTTGAAAGTTAGAATTGTGCTACCATCTCTGCCCTAATACTTTATTTATTTATTTACTTTCCTTTTCCACGTTTAGGCTGTCTATGGCCTTGCATATGTTGGTATAGCGTTTGATCAAGCTATATCCTCTTTTTGGATTTTCTCCACAGTTTCTCTTATGTTATCCTTTGTTCTCTTTAACAGTTGAACCATTAATGTGTAAGAAGAGAGCTGCAATTCTTGCTAGACGCTCCTTAATAGCACTATGCAACGCACGATCTTCATGTAGCTCCTCAGTATCAAACAAAGCCCTAAATCAAGTTAGAAATTTAAGCATTGCTTCTGAAAGAGAGGAATATCAGAACGATAATGGATATCATGCAGATAACTCTTTGCAGAGTTACCAAAGCCATGGTGGATTTAGCAGTGACAGCCAAAGCCCTGGGTATTATCAGCATCATGCCCAACGTGCTAGTTTCCAAAGCTCTTCTTGGCCTAATCAGAATATTCTACTTGAGCGTAGAGAAAATTTAACTGCTTACAATGGGTTTAACAATGGAGAACTGCAGCAGAACAATTATGAGGTTTCTGGACAGAATTCATGGGGCACACAGATGGAATCCAGACAATTTGTACATGGCAACAGCCTAAATTACCACAATTCTATGCCAGGACTAAACAATCATATTCCCGTCTCAAGACAATATGAGCAAAACTCTATGTCTCAGCCACATCCACAGGGGCAATACCAACAAGGTGGCAGTGTTGAACTATATCAGCCAAACCCAGATACTATTCAGAGTCGCACAATTGGTACTCAAGTATTAAACAACACCAATGCTGATGAGGAAATTGGCGTGACTAAGGATAACCCATATGGTGGTACCCTTGAGGAGCTTGATGAATTCTGCAGGGAAGGAAAATTGAAGGAGGCTGTGCAAATTCTTGAAATGTTAGAGAAACAAAACATTCCTGTTGATTTATCCCGGTATTTAAATTTGATGAATGCATGTGGGGAAGCAAGGTCCCTAGAAGAAGCCAAAGTGGTTTGTAAGTACGTAATAAAATCTCAAACCCCTCTCAAAGTTAGCACCTATAACAAAATTCTGGAGATGTACTCTAAATGTGGTTCCATGAATGATGCCTATCTGATATTCAATAAAATGCCCAGCCGCAACCTAACATCTTGGGATACTATGATTACGTGGCTTGCTAAGAATGGCCTAGGGGAAGATGCTATTGACCTTTTCTACGAGTTCAAAAAAACTGGGTTGAGAATCGATGGAAAAATGTTCATTGGAGTTTTCTCAGCATGTAGTGTCTTGGGAGATGTTGATGAGGGGATGTTACACTTTGAATCAATGACAAAAAATTATGGCATTACTCCTTCTATGCATCATTATGTTAGTATAATAGACATGCTTGGTAGTGTAGGTTATGTAGATGAAGCTTTGGAGTTCATTGAAAATATGCCATTTGAGCCAGGGGTAGACATTTGGGAAACAATGATGAATATCTCTAGAGCTCATGGGTTGATGGAGCTTGGTGATCGTTGTTTTGAGCTTGTTGAGCAGCTTGATCCCTCTCGCTTAAATGAGCAGTCAAAAGCTGGCCATCTGCCTATAAAAGCTTCAGACCTTGCAAAAGAGAGAGAGAAGAAAAAATTAGCCAACCGGAACCTTTTAGAAGTCAGGAGCCGAGTACATGAATATCGAGCTGGAGATACTTCTCACCCTGAGAATGACAGGATCTATACCTTGCTTAGGGGTTTGAGAGAACAAATGAAGGAGGCTGGTTATATTCCAGAGACTCGATTTGTACTCCATGATATAGATCAGGAAGGCAAAAATGATGCTCTACTTGGTCATAGTGAGAGACTTGCTGTTGCATATGGTCTAATCAGCAGCTCAGCCCGCTCACCCATAAGAGTAATTAAGAACCTTCGAGTTTGTGGTGATTGCCATAGTGCACTAAAGATAATTTCAAAAATTGTGGGTCGAGAACTCATCATCCGTGATGCTAAGAGATTTCACCATTTTAAAGATGGATTATGCTCTTGCCGTGATTACTGGTGAAGAAAATGAAACTTGAGGTATGTCTAAATTTTTGTCTCCACTTGTTTTCTTTTAATATCTAAGCTTTTGTCAGGTTTGGACATGTTCATAATTGCTTTAATTTATATTCCTCATTCCCGTTAAAAATTGAATTACAAATTAGGTTGGCGCTGAATTATATGTTGTATTTTGTGATGTTATGAACATTTCTCTTTATATTCCTGGTCTTTGTTTTTGTTGTTTTATTTTAATTCGTGGTCTTCGTTCTCATTTCATTGTTGCATTTGCATCTTGTTCAATGTTTGGTTAGACATCGAAATTATCTTATTCATTGAAATCTAATTTTTTTTATTAGAAGTTAGGAAATCCATGTTTAGAGTTTGGCTAGAGATTGAATTACCTCTTGCTCGATGTACTCTAAATTTCTGAATAGAAGTAGCACGGACAGTTATCTGTCATTACATAAAAAGGGGAAAAATTTTGTGATCACCTCCTAGTTGAAACCGTATGTGTACTTGATCGTGGTGCCAAGTAATAAGTGGCATTCTCAGTGCAATATTCTAAATGGTAACGTGTTGTCATTCGCTCATTTTCAATTTATTGAGACTGATAATGCCTCCTCGAGGTGTACTGATTGGCAATGATGTCTTGTCTAAAGTGACATATCCCCCCCCCCCCCCCCCCCCCCCNAAAAAAAAAAAAAAAAAAAAAAAAAGAAAACGGAAATCAAGTTAAGTAATATAATGCTTTTGGTACTTTGTATAGGATCCTGGATTTTGCAAAAGTAAGAACTTTCTATTGTAAGGTAATAAATGGTCCATATTCCTTAATGGTGGATTTATGTTTCTAAAAGGCTTCATCAAGGTGAACCATGAGCTCCATTTCTATTTTTGCTAGTTGGAGAAGTTCTAAGCGGATACATGGATAAAGGTATGTCTATGACGGTTTTAAAGGCTTTTTTGTTGGCAAAGATGGGATTCTTGCAGGAAATAATTTTTCATCGATCAAATGAAAAATCACAGAGAAATATGGAAAAATTTTCACAGAAGAAATGACAACTAAGGCTATCTGAACATCTTACAACACTGGCCAAAACAAACCATACTAATTCTTGATGAAAAAGAAAAATCTTTTAACAAAAAACAAAATCTAGGACAGCACACTATGATGTCAACAACTGGAAGTTTCAAACTCTTAAACCACCAGCAGCAGCTTTCTTTCGAGCTCCCACATTAGTCAAAACAAACTGCCGACGGCAAAAACTCTTCCTCCCAAAACAATGGACCAGTCATTTCAACTTGAGCACCATCTACCTTTGGAACCAACAACAAATAGAGAAAACCAAACTTCAAGAACTCTTAAGAACTTGTAAAACTCGAAATGAATGACAATAACTTGAACAATCTTTTGCCTCCATAACTTTGAAACAATTTTGAGACCTTTTCAGGCTTCAAAGTAAGTCAAACAAATTCATGGTGAGCAATATAAGCGACATAAGATTTTTTTAGCATGGCTTATAAAGTGCGTGAGTTTTGAACCTCTACCGTCGGGGGGAAATTTTGAAAGGAAAGAGGTGTTGATGGATGAAGGATTTTGGGTTGTCTAGGGGAGGGATGATGCTTTGTAATGTCATTCTTACAAATTTCATAATGTTCTGGCTTTTCTTTATCCTTAATAAATATTGAATGGCTTAATGAATCCTTACTCTTCTAATATTCTGTCATTTGCAAACAATACCAACAGATAGTTCTCTTCATTAGGGAATGTCATGGATTATCTCTTCTTTATTGCCTAGCTAAGGAGAAAATGTGTGTGAGAGAGATGGGAGAGTAGGAGGTGGGGATGGAAATGGATCGCATTCCTAGTCGGGGAAGATAAAAGTGGAATCAAGGATTAAAAGAACTCCTTGATGTAAGATTTAAGGGGAAGTAGATTAAATATTAAGGAAAGAAGTAGAGTTGTGACTTCAATTTTTATCCAGTTGGTCTCAGCTATTGGAGCTATCGTTTAACAATAAAGGTGTTGTGGTTGAATTTTTCTTGATCGGTTCATATGGAGTAAACTCGAGTAACTTTATACTTGAGCTGAGGTGGAACATAAGGAAAAAAATGCTCGAGTGGTTGAAAAGAGAACTTTGGGTTTTGTAGGAGACATTGCGTTAATATGCTTTCTTATCGTCAAAATTGTTCATACTTGTTCATACTTTTATAAAGTGGCCTCTTAAGTTTTCTAATCATCTCATTGATCCTTGTTTAGATTACATGCTTCCTTGTTCACGAGCTGTTTCAGAAGGTTAGCTTTTTAGTAGGTATTTCTCATCTTCCCCTCTGGCTATTGTAGAAGCACTATGACAGATAAATGCACAACTCTCATTGCATATGCATCTTCTGCAGCTCCATTACCATGTTCAAAAGGGTGTCGAGGTTCAAAATTAACAGAAAGTTCAAAATTACTAATCCCAGGCAAAGTCACCGAACTCTTTCACACTTGGTGGAGGCTTATGCTTGAGAATGTATGGAACAAACCGCTGATGGCTTGTGCCTGGGCTCGGATCAAACCTAAACTATTCTTCCTAAACTGCAGCTATTATTTCTCGACATCTCTTATTTACTTAGTAATGTAATCACCATTATCAATAACCCCAATTTTGATGTAGCAAGAGAACTAGTGATAGACAAATTTGTGCATTTTTTTATTTTATATAAATGGATTGTATTATATTATTATATTAAAATATGAGAGGATGAAGTGACTCGGCCAAAGGTTCACAGTTCTGCCGCTTATGATTTTATTCTTCTTTTTCTTTAGGGTGAAATTTAGAGATTTAAAGTTAATAATACTTGAAAAAAGAATTATGTTAGGGTGCGTCTACTCTTTTGTGTTTGGTGTCAAAGGTAAACATTTTCTTTTATCGAACTTAGTGGTCACCATGCAGAAGGATCATGCAATTGTCTCATGAAAACAATTGTGGTACACTCGAGCGATCTAGACACTCACTGATATAAGAAAAGCTTTTGAGGAACACGAATGTGTTTCGTGCTCAAAACGACTCTGTCTCGAAAACTGGTTCGAAGCAATCTTTACTCCCACACCTCTTCATTGGTTGAAGAATATCTTTATATTTCTCCTTAAACACACTCTCCCAAGCACACATATTTTAAAGAAATAGGGAGGTGTGGATTAAGCATCAACCAAATGTGACTCAATCTTTATCCTGAACGAGTTATGAACTTCTGTCTATGAACGTTTATCCTTTGATTTGGATGGGTGGAATGAAAGCTAGGAACATAATATTTCGAGATGGAATTCACTTCTTTCCATATATGGAAAGTAGATGAGTTGTTCTCAGTGTCGATTTCAAAACAATGGGGCTACACCCTTTCATTGGCCCGAGAGGTACTTGACTTATGGATTTGATCATTAAAAAAAAAGGTCTTGTGCTTGCTTAAGTCCTTTTCACTTTGAGATCCCTTTTCAGGAGTCTCTCAAGTATGGATTTGATCATTAAAAAAAAAAGTCTTGTGCTTGCTTAAGTCCTTTTCACTTTGAGATCCCTTTTCAGGAGTCTCTCAGAAACCTTGGTCTTGTGCTTAAGTCATAACTGGTAGACGAACACGACTCTCCACAATAATATGATATTGTCCACTTTGAGCACAAGCTCTCATGACTTTGCTTTTGGATTCCCCAAAAGGCCTCACACCAATGGAGAGAGTATTCTTTGTTTATAAACCCATGATCATTCCCTAAATTAGTCGATGTGGGACTTTTATCATCCAACAATAACAAGGAAAATCTTGTATAATGTGAAAGAATTTCTGTGTTGTTGGAATACATCAATGAGGCTTGCAAGCAGCGGTTTCTAAAAATGTATAGTTCTTACTCTCGTATTAATAGTTTTGTTTTAATTCTCAATAAAATCAAATCGGTTTACAATGTTTTTGTTATACGGATGGAGAGTTGATTTTCTTCAAGGCTCTCATGTATAGATAACAGTGTCATCTGGGAGGCCGTGAAAATGAAGTCATGATAGATAGATTTCTACATTTAAGTCATAGACTTTTGTTAGGATAGGACAATATTGTCACAATTGCATTCTTGTGGCAGCGGCAGTGGACAACGATTGTGCGACATTTGTTCTAACCCTGCAAACAAGTCAATCGTGTGAAAGTCAAATTTTGTAGACAGTCTTGACATATGATCAAGTCTCAAGTCATGTATGAGAGAAATATTTTAGAAAATGTGAGCGAGAAAATGCGTTAAAAATAATTTGAAAGAAAGTAATGTTACATACTAAAAGTGAATAAGTAATTACCAAAACTTTGATAGCATGTAACTTTGGTAGTAAGAATTGACAACTAGTCACATCCCCTATAATGCATTTTAAGACATTTTAGCCCTTGTAGGTGTAGATGTAATTTTGGTGAACGATCATAAACCTCCATATTGACACGACATGGTTTTGGTGAACGATCTTACACCTCCATATTGACACGATAGGAATAGTAAATACCTAACTACACTGGAATGCAAATAAAAGGGGTTTGAAATGGACATGCGGCTATGAATAATACATCTTGGACGAGCATGACCAAGACATCCGACACACGACACAAGCAATATGCCTTAGAAAAGCATGATCGAGACATCCTCCCCCACTCAATTGGTTGACGTCTCTGTCAACAAACTCTTCACGAACTCAACAATGTATGATGAGGTTGATTTTAGGTCTCTCGACGCACTTCCAGGTGATCTCAACATTGAGAAGTCTTTTGCAATTTGCCAGGACTATTGAAAATCAATTCTTGAGTCATCGACTCTTCGTGTCTTCTTTATCAAAGTCTCTTTTACTTTCTTCGCAATAACTTTTTTTTTTTTCGTGACATGAGGTCGTACCACCTCCTTGTGTCTCGTATTCCTCTAGCAGGATAGTAACATTTCAAGTTACTGACGTGGACAACAAGGCTAGTTCACATCCTTGTGTCTAGCGGTGTTTCAACTTTCACCGTTTCATACTCAGATTCTGAATTCGTTCCAAATTTTGCTTGAAAGGCATAAAGCGTCATCTTTTGTGGGCACTCAATTTTTCAGTTTTCCCCTTTGCATATGAAGCAAGACAAGGAGACTTGGCTATGACTGGTTTGGTTATGAGGACTCCGCCATGGATTTCTACCCCTATATTGGGAGAACTCACATTCTCCTCCACTTATAATTCTGTCACTTCTCCCAGTTTTGGGGGTTGAGTTGATAATTTCTATTACCTTGTTAAGGATATTTAGTAATAAATTATAGTTTACCATATATATTATATTTGATATTTGCCTTATTATCATAGGTATCTTTCCATTTATTGTTATTTCCATTTATTACTATTTCCATATCCTTGTAATTTATTTGATTATAAATAAGATAACTTTCACACCATTTAGGTGTGGTAGATTAATCAAACATTCACAACCCTCATTGGCTGAAGCTTGGCTCGGCCTTACGTCTTGGGACTGATTGTTGCTAAGGTCAAAACAATTGTTTGGTTGTAGCATATGCCCTAGAAAGGTCTTGAACTTTTTGTTTATAGAGTTTGGTCTTCTCCCACAACTTCAACCCGTCAACAAAGCTGAAGAACTTGTCTTTCTCGGATATGTCGTAGATATCCAACATAAACTCATAAAACTGCTTAACGTAGTCTCGAATATTCCCTATATACCTCAGCTCTCTTAACTTCCTCCTTCTATTATCTCGACATTCTTTGGGAAGAATTGTGAGCAGAGTTCTTGTTTTAAATTCTCCCAAGTGTCCACGGTACATTGGCCATCTTGAATATTCATGTACCCACCACTAACTTTACATCGTTAGCTAGATGTATTATGGTCAACATGTCATTCATCTCTTTTACCATGGTACTTATGACTCGAAAGTATTGTTCGAGGTCAAAGCTAAAAAGGTCTGTTCTTAAATACTCAGACATTTGCGAGACCATCTGAACAATCTCTTATTGGGATTGTTTAGGCTCTCGATACGTTCCTCCATTCGAGCAATAGAGCCCATCGAGCTATCTCCATGCTCGAAGCCACCAGAAGTTATGACCTTGTCTTATAAGGTCTCGACCCTAACATTAGTTCACGAATGGGCATTGCCTCAAGGCGGTCTACCATTTTATCGATCCTGTCAACTTTAGCGGCAATCTTGTTCATTCTAAACTCTAAAAGCACAATTCCATCAGGAACATCATTCAAGTAGAGAAACTGATCTTCAATCTCTTCCAATCAGTCCACCTGAGACTTGCCTAGTTGTTTTGCAGCGAGTATGTTTGTTTACCATGATTCAAAAAATCGACTAATCTATGACACCACTTGTCACAATCGCACTCTTGTGACAGCGAGACAATGATTGTGCAACACTTGTTCTAATCTAGCAAACAAGTCAAGTCATGTGAAAGTTGGACTTTGCGGACAATCTTGATGGATGATCGAGTCTCAGGTCACGTTTTAGAGAAATATTTTAGAAAATGTGATGAGAAAATGCATGGAAAACCATTTTAAAGAAAGCAATGTTATAGGCTAAAAGCGAATAACCAGCAACCATAACTTTGATAGCATATAACTCGAGTAGGAATAATGGACAATTAATCATATCTCCATATAGTACATTTTGGGACATTTTAACCTAGGCGAGTATTGACATAATTTGGTGAACGGTCATACACCCCTATATTGACACAACAAAAATAGTAAGGTCTAACTTCACATTCAAGCAAGTAAAAGAGGGTTTGGAATAGGCATGCAGTCATGGACAACACATCCTAGACAAGCATGATCGGGACATTCAACAAGCAGACACAAGTAACACACCTTGGATAAACATGACCACGACAAATAACATCTATTTTAAAACTTTGATAAAGATGTTAAGTTTTTTGGTTTTCATCTATGTTATTTTATGAGTTTATTATTATTTTTATGAGTTTATTATTATGTTTGAAAAGAATTTA